AAATAGGTCAATTTTTTCGGAGAGCCCCCATATAAGGGTACCCCCAATTTTCGGTATTTTGGGGTTCTTGAGCGCGTTTACCAACCGAATTTGCTGCAATTTGGTATTTTGTAGTCGTATAGGGTAACAAATCTCCCTACCAAAAATTATTAATATTCGCCCCGTTTTTGGGGTAGTCCCCATATAACCCTCCCCTTTTTATACCCTCCACAATAGTACCCTCACCGTGTTCGCCATAAGGTTGATGGTATAATCATCCAATAAAAATTTCTGAAATTTGTATTATGATTTTCATTATGGATTACATAATCCGTTTTTAGAAATGTCGGTATAGATCCACTTTTTGGTATGTTCCCTATATTTTCATTTCCATTACCTGTCAGTATATCTATGGTGGAGGGTATCCAAAGTTCGGCCTGGCCGAACTTAACGCTTTTTTACTTGTTATATATTGTTATATTTAAAGGTTTAGGGTTGGTGTGCTTCAAAAATATTGTTAAGTGGTGTTCATTTTGTTTGTACCAAAACCTAAATAAACGACTTAGATGATATAGAATGTAGTCATTGGATATTCTAATGTCACTAAATTATGCAATAGATCGTTCTTTGTCGTTGTCACTAGAATCATCAATGAATCTCCCTTTCCAATTTATGTATGCCAAACAATAACACCTGTGTGTCTGACGGAAATTATCCCACCGCTCCATTTATGATATATTAAAATAAACCATCATTGTTGGAAACATCATGGGAAAAAAACACGTTTTTTTGTGTTTTTCCCCCAACCATTACCAGCACGCTATGTAAATTGTATTGATAAGACAATGGCTGTAGGATGTTTTTTAACAAATTGACTGATAGGAAAAGGTAAACAACAACAACCGCAACAACAACGACAACAAAGCAAATAAAACAAATGAGGAAACATTTATGATCAATCTGTGAAATGTCATGATTGAAAACAATCGCTGTAACCACAAAAGAATGTGGAATATTCAAATTGGAAGAAGGCTAGGCAGAGGATTCTTTGTTTTCGATTTCCATCGACCATGAAATGAAATATTATAACTGAAGGATAACAAATGATTTCCTGACATAACAAGTGATTTAGAAAAAATATGTATGAAATAATAGAAAACATGCAATACTCAAACCTATTCACTAAAAGCTTATTGCAGAACTGAGTAAGTAATAGTAATTGTAGTAGTAAATGTCGTCATTGTAGTAGTAATTGGTTGGTTAGAACATATATTTACTAATATTTATTATTAAAAAATTGTTAAGGAATGTACCAATGTCGAATAGAGTCTGCCGCCAGAAATGCTATTGGGATTTATGTTTTATACCAAAGTAACAACAAATTATTATTGCATTTTTTCCTAAAATTTTAATACGAACTCAGAAGGAACACATATATGATTCCAGTCTTTGATACATATCCCGCTTTTCTAGAAAAGTTTACAAAACATATTACGTTATATATTCTATCATGTTAAGGACACAAAACATTAATGCCACAATATTTTTGTAACAGATCAAACTCAAACCTTTAAATATCCCAATATAAGACAAAATTGGCTTAAACCATGAATCCTACTAAGGTTATCAGAGTAAAAATGTAAGTAAAAATTACAAAAAAGGGCCACACTTGTGTGGCGAGACATTAAAGTAACAAACATATGGACTTTAGTTTTACGCCTGTCATACATTGTCTGTTGATTTCGCAACAGAGCCCATAACATTGAGAGTAGAGCTTTGGATTTTTCACTGTAAGGACATTTGGGATGGGATATAAAAGTCCCGACCCATTTTAAGTAGTTTAGACAATTGGGTTTTCGGAGGATAAATATATTCAGTTTTATACCCTCCACCATAGTATGGAGGGTATATTACACTCCTTGTACATTAGAACTTTTTTACCGGGTTAACCTACTTTATGAAGATTTATTTGACATATATGCAAAGGAAGTGACAATTGAAACCCACTGAGTTAACGTAATGTAAACGTTAATGTAAACGTACTATTAATTTTGTTTTTTCCGTTTGTAACTCATCGAAATAATCATTTCCGACCCTATAAAGTATATATATTCTTCAGCTCAGTGTAAAATTCTATGGCGATATAGCCATGTCCGTCTGTCTGTTGTAATCACTCTAGCGTCTAAACGAATGGAGATAGATCGCCAAAATTTTGCATAGAGTCATCTTTTGTCTGCAGGCAGGTCAAGTTCGAAGATGGGCTTTATGGGTCCACGTTTAGTCATAGTGGTTAGGCATAGCTCCCATATAAGGGAACCCCCCAATTTTTGGTATTTTGGGGTTCTTGAGCGCGTTTTCAACTGAATTCGCTAAAATTTGGCACATTATGTTCTTATTGGGTAGCAAATCTCTCCACTAAAAATTATAAATATGGGTCCATATTTTCGGATAGCCCCCATATAAGGGTACCCCCCATTTTGCGGTATTTTGGGTGGTTTGATCGCATTTTTCGACCGAATTCGCTGAAATTCAGTACTTTGAGTTCTTATGGGGTAGCAAATCTCTTCACTAAAAATTATAAATATAAGTCCACTTTTTCTGGTAGCCCCCATAGTTTTTGAGGGTTTTGACCGGATTTTCCACCGAATTGGCTGTAATTTAGTAATTTCAGTAATTATTGGGTAGCAAATCTCTCCACAAAAAATTATGGATATAGGTAAATTTTTTCGGATAGCCCCCATATAAGGGTACCCCCCACATTCGGGATTTTAGGGTTCTTGAGCGCGTTTTTTGGAAATATATCGGCAGACATTTAGGCACCTCCTCAATATAGTGATACCTCCTGAAGGAAAGAATTGAGATAAACAATTAAAATATTAGGTTCAATATTGGCATATACCGGTCATTAATTAGGCATAGCCCTCATATAATGATATCCCCAAATATTCACTATTTCCTACACTATGTAATCAATATTGGTCCCTCTTTAGGCATATCCTCATATAACATTGTAATCTAAATTACAGTATTTTCAGGATTTTATACCTTGTGAGTCTATATATTTTCTTGGTTACAAAATTTATTACCCAAAATGAATTGCAAATACAAAATTACAGTCATTTCGGTTGGATAATGTGACAACAAACCCCCAAAAACCCCCCTATTTAGGGGTACCATTATATGCGAGCTACACCAAAACTTGAACGGATATATACAACTTTAAATTCCAAAACTTCCTAGGTGTATTAATGATGTATATGTCACTTTGCAAATCTCTATCTTAAATATGCCTAGCTTTATCGTGATTTCACAGACGGGCCTACAGAAGGGCATTCATAATTCGACATAGAATTTTATTTGGATCAAGAAAATATATATAATTTATGCGACCTCCGGTGAATAGTTCGTGGTGTTGTAAACGGAATGAGTAATTTAATATTAGAATTTCTCTTTTCAGGAATGTGTGTTAATAGTTTTGGTAGGAAGATATAACCAATTGATTGGAAATACTAAGACGATTTATTACCCGAAGAGAAATGTAAATACGAAAATGTGACAAAAAACCCCCAAAATTTCGAATATTACGGGTACCGTTATATGCCAGCTATACCATAAGGTGAAGAGATATATCCCATTTTAAATTCCAAAATTTTCTACGAGACTTAACGATGTATGTGCCACATTTGAAAACTGTATCTTACATACGGCAAGCTCTATTCACATTGAATTTTATTTCGATCAAGAAAATATATATATACTTTATGGGGCTTCCGGTGAATAGTTCGTGATGTTGCAAACGGAACAAGAAATTTAATATAATCTCTTTTCAGATAAAATCCTTTCAGGAAATTTACAGTGTTCGACATAGCCCCCATCTGATGGTTCGGCGAATCGAAAAAATCATTTCCGAACCATTTTTAATCACCTAAGCGTCTAAATGTGTTGGGATCAATTTTTCACTAACGTGTTTATTTTTAAGCAGATCACGTTCGAGGCTTTTAGACCTCCAACCGAAATGCGGGTTACAATTGGACTGGAAATATAGTCTTGCATTTTAGGTGTTATTTTATATAAGCAAATATTTAAAAATTGCTTCCGATCGTCACTTAATTACAGCAATTATCTGTTTTCTATTTCTTCCCCTACACCATAGTATAACATTTTGAATTTTCCAGCTGAATCGGAATAAAAAATGATTCCCCAGGAATCGGATATGCCACTTGGATGAAGAAATTCAATTAAAATCTTAATAATAGACAATAAGTGGTGTTTTCTGTATTTGAAGCTATATACAAACTTGGACATATATAGAACAATTTCCGCACAAAAATGTGTGATATACTATAAAAAAGTGTGACTACACCCTTCAGAATACTGACAATAGAGCTTTGGATATGGTTTACTCGTCTTGAAAATAAATTTATTTATATTTTTGTACCCTTCACCACTCTGTGGTACAGGGTATTATGTCTTTGTGCATATGTTTGTAACAGGCAATAATAATCGAGATAGACACATGGTTCCTTTTGAGAATATGCATAGAATCACTTTCTGAGTCGATTTATGCATGTCCGTCCGTCTGTCTGTCGATGTTAAATTGTAAACACAGACGGCTCTAAATCTACTCGAATGAAATTAAAGTTAGGATAGGTTGGAGAAAGAGGGAACATAGACATGCTATTGTTAGGATACATATGAACAATATACCCAAAGAGATGATATATTTTATGGGTATCATATACACTCGGCCCCGTCCGACTTTTACCTATAATATCAAATTTGGTGATGATATTGAATCGGATTTTGGATATGGTTTACTCGTCTTGAAAATTAAATGAACTATTTTTTGGAATTCCTAAACTGAATTCTAAGCTAATTTCTATTATTGCGGAAAAATAAGTCCCATTGATTTCACAGATACGCATTGTAAATATGTAAATATATTTAGAATATTTATAAACGTTTACAAATGTTTTCCTCTTTTTATCAAATCAAAATCATTAGATATTTTAACGTTGACATCAGCAGCATGCAACTTGATTCGTAATGGTCAATGGATCCAAAGAAATTCCATTTTTCTTCAATACGGCCAAAGCGGTTTCGATGGTTTTCTCCGAAGGCAAACGTTCACGTGTTAGAATCCAAACGATAGCTAAAAAATATTCGAATATTAAGAATCGAAAAAAATATATATGTGAGCATCAATATTATTTACTTGATGATTGGCTATTGGGCAGTTCTTGGCATGAGTAGACAACACTGTAGGTGGTGTAATCGGTATCGAGAACCCAATAATTACTGGATACGGTATATACAGGGCTTACGGGAAATTTCACCAATAGTTTTGCATTGGACACCACCGTAGCATTGCCGAGAGTAACATCTGGTTGACCGGTTCTGGAATGGAATTAGAAAAGGTATTTCTTGCATAAATATTCGATTCGATTCGATTTTTTTGGTCTCTCATTGGACCATTAATAATGATGACCTTTGGCTCTATTATTCAAGTTTCTTTCAACATTTCAAGGATATGACTTTTGAATTATAAAATCATCATTATTTTTTTTCATACAAAATATATTATTCTTACTCATATACATTTATTATACTTACGTTCCATTTACTTGACTATTTTTAACACCCACAAGACCATCATCTAAGAGAGAATATTCAGCTGTTATGCAAACACCATCAGCCTCGAAATAGGTAGGATATTTGGCATATTCATACCAAAGACCCAAATATTTGGAGACATCAAACGAGGACACAACTTCAACGTTAGTGGGACAACAGTTGGACGATACGACTTGGCCCATACCAAATTGGATGGTCATGATCACCACTGTCATTGTGATGAATGTTGCTGTTTTTCCACTGACAATGGCCATAATTGATTGATTTATTTTGACAAAGAAGTTAACTTTTTTCACAACTGCACTGCTGGTTGGTAGGTGTTAATGTTACTGATACCGTTGTGAAGAATCATCAGCACTTTTATAGTCCACAAGTTGGGGAGTTTCGTTTTCTCGTTATCAATTCTTGTCTTTTTTCTTTGTATTCAGAACTTGTTAACATTGTACCCTGTGGAATCATAAGAGGTTATGTAAACGCCATTTACCATGCTCAACGTCATTGTTTGTGGGGTATCTACTGTTATAGAATTCCGAATGACATAAGTTTGCTACACGTGTAGCTGTTTACAACACCACTAAACATACGTTGGAGGCCCCATTATTTATCAGAGTAATATTCTAGGTATACACGACTGATGTAGCCGTCATATAAAGACCCCGAACAATTTTGTTATTTTCGTGTGGCGGTTAAAAAAATTTCCGCAAAATGTGGTCAACATAAGACCTCATTTAATGTAGCCTCCCTAAATAAGGTTATGCATTTTTTAGTTTCCAAAGAAGACAAACAGATCATTAAAATTATCTCCTCGCGTACGGTTGTAAGCATTGATCCTTATGATTTTTATACCCTTTTTTTTTTTTTTTTGACACACGTTGGGAGGTATCACAACTTAACGAATATAGGTTTTTGGTTGATAAATAACGCAAAGTGGATGTATATTTCATTTTGGTTCCATATTGACAATTTTCGGCAAAAATGTGTTTTACCCTCAAATCTCCGGAATGACAAATTACAACCACAGCAAGGGAAAATGCGACTTAGCCTTTAAAATACCGACAGTGGATAGGTTCCGTTATGTGGGAGCTATGCTAAAACGTCCAGTGAAATTGAATATAGGCTTTTGTGTGATAAATAACGCAAACTTGATGTCTTTTGCAATAAAGACATATCCGCTCGAGTCGTGTGACATGTGGCACCGTCTTACAATACATAATATAACAAGCAAAACAAGGCATTAAGCATTGGTTTTTTATGGATGTAATGGATTCTCATCGCTTTCTTGAGGGTTCTCAGACCCCGAAAACAACAATTTTGGTTATTAACATACCCATATAGTAAGAAACGTTCTTCATGGCTGAAGAAAATTTTGTTCGAAAAATTGCCGCCCAACACCTGTTGTTCAAGTACCCATTACACGTAAATGTTGTAAATGATATATCTTTCAGTATTTCCGTTTGGCATAACGTACTGAATTGAGCCTATGATGTCTGCAAGTGTGTAATATCGATCCAGATTTAAATATACTCCATATATAGTTCAGTCCTAATTACTGAAAATTATGATAAATCGACACAGTTGGGCCTACGGCAACACTTTCACTTACAGATACGAAATTTTCGGCGGAACGAGCGAGACGATGATGCACATCCCTTACAACATTTGTAACGGCTTCAGTCTCCTCACAATTTTGCAAATTGGTAGGCGTAGTTGGACTATATATTTTTCCATTTGCACGAAATTTGGCATATCGTACTGACGTAAATGACATACATTTCCGACGTATAATACATACGTCAAAATCGGTCCCACCAAAACCATTAGGGTTAGCTGACATATATAGCTATTTCCATTTCATGTGGAAATTACGTGAGCTTTACTCAAATCAATGTCGAATTTCAAAATTTTCTTCTTCAAAAAGTTTAGAATTTTTTTATCAGTTCTAGTAAGGAATAGTTAGATATATGTTAAAATGATATTTATTTTAGAAAATAACCGTATATGGTAATAATATTGAAATAAATGACGTTTACTACATTTATTACATTTTATACATGTATATGACGTTTTCGACGTTTACACCTTTTTGACAGTCGAATACCTAAAAATTCGTCACAAGGACCATCCCTGGTAACCATAATCTCCTCTTAAAGCACGCTATGTGGCTGAGGCAGAATAGCCATTTTTGTAGTCGGTTTTGATCATTCTTACCAGTTGAGGTAAATAAGCAATCCAAGCCAAATTCCACGAAATGAATAACCCTGTACAGAGATACTGCATCACTTCAGATATGTTTATGGTCTTAGACGCATTTTCCAATCAAAGTGGATGTTATATTAGCTCATATATAGATTCTTCCGAATTCATGTAAACCCGGTGCACCAAAGTCCCTATATATAAGTCGATTTTGCACAAATACTGGTATAACCCTCCGCACTGAATTTTTATGGACTTGTGCTAATTTCAAATATCACATATTTAATATCATCCAATTTCATGTTAATTGTCCTTTTTATACCCTTCACCACACTGTGGTACAGGGTATTATGTCTTTGTGCATATGTTTGTAACAGGCAAAAGGAAAGGAGATAGACCCATTGTTCCTTTTGAAAATATGCATAGAATCACTTTCTGAGTCGATTTATGCATGTCCGTCCGTCCGTCTGTTGGTGTTAACTTGTAAACAAAGTACAGGTCGCATTTATTATCCGATTTGGATGAATTTTGGCACAGTTCACTTATTTGGCTTAAGGACGAACCCTATTGAAATATATATATAGATATATATTTAGATTTAGATATATATTTTCGCCTGATTTAAGACCCTATATATGTTTTGATTTCCACGAAATTTGGCATAACCTAATCATTTAGGTCTAGAAGGATGTCTGCCAAGTTTCCTGAAAATCGGTCCAGATATAGATATAGCTCCCATATATAGTTTCGTCCGATTTCAGGTAAATGGTGCACCAAAGTCTCTATATATCATTCGATTTGCACCAAATTTGGCATACCCTACTGAATTGAGCCTAGAATTATGTCTACCAAGTTTCGTGAAAATCGGTCCAGATTTAGATATAGCTCCCATATATAGTTTCGTCCGATTTCATGTAAATGGTGCCCCAAAGTCCCTATATATCTTTCGATTTCCACGAAATTTGGCATATCGTACTGAATTAAGCCTAGAGTGATGTCTGCCAAGTTTCGTGAAAATCGGTTCAGATTTAGATATAGCTCCCATATATAGTTTCGTCCGATTTCATGTAAATGGTGCACCAAAGTCCCTATATATCTTTCGATTTGCACGAAATGCACGTACTGAATTGAGCCTAGAGTGATGTTCCCTGAAAATCGGCCAAGATTTAGATATGGCTCCCATATATATCTTCATCCGTATTAATGTAAATGGTGCACTAAATTCCACATATATCTTTCGATTTGCACGAAATTTGGCATAGCGTACTGAATTTTGAATATCACACATTTAATTTCATCCAATTTCATGTTAATTGTCCTTTTTAATATACCCATAGTGTGAAGGGTATTATATAATCGGCCCGTCCGACTTTACTACTTTCCTTACTGGTTTTTAATTGGTTCAGTTTTGCTTTGTCATCCTTAAATATATCATCTCATATAGTCAGCATATAGCATATAGTCATCATATAGTCAGCCCTTCCGACTTTTGAACTTTCCTTACTAATATTTAATCATTTTTTTTATTCTACCATCCAATATTTTCATCATTTAGCTGTCCTAATTTCCCACAATTCGTACTGTTAATTGATCTCTCTCTCTCTTAAATTAATTATTATCTTAGTGATGATGTTGATTCCAAAAAACAAATCCTAGGTGACGGCGACAAGGTAAGCATGTTTATGCAACGTAAGTTAAAATTACAAATTAATTGAAAATACATTTCTGGACAGAGATGCTTCTGTGTAGGTTGGTTTTAATTGCTTAGCTCAGGTTCGCAGCCAATTTACCTTAGCTAGCAGAAAATTCTAATCCACATGATGGCACAGACAACTGTGTTTATCATCTGGTTTTTGTCTATTTATTTGTGTTAATGGTCAATTTTGCAAGCAAATATCTACTTTCCGAAATGGAATTCCGATATAAATGACACATTTGTCTCGTCCACATTGTCTCGTTTCTAGACTATCATCCCAAAATACTGCTAACGGTATGTTTAATAAATTTCAAAGAAAAATTGCACGGCCTTGAATTGTGTCGTGCATTGAAAAATCAATGGGTATGAAATAATTAATGAAAAAATTTAATAAAGATTTGTTTTATGCAAACACAATAATGAGATTCAAATAGAGCTTAGCGATAATAAGTTAATATTATCACTTTAAACCGGGTAAAAGGACGTTTATTAAACCTATGGAAATAAACTAAGTTTAAAAATAATGTCATTTGAAAAGTAAATAAAATTAATCTACTCTCCATGGATAAATTTCTGGGAAAGTCGATGGAGATATGTAATTATACACCGCATTGTATAATTGCATATATTTCCGCATTTTAACTATTTCGAGAAAGGAGCAATCTGAACCAGGTATTTAGTTCATAAAGGTCCATTAGTTGTCCTAGTTGTCTTAATTTGATCTGGTTCCCTTATTCTTCGTTCGTACTGGTTCATTTTTCAGATGCCGCCAAGCCGAATTTCTTATAACCTCAACCATGAGTTGGACTATTTAAGTGTCCATCGTTTGTGACCTTTATAAGTCTATGTCATGGCAAATTTTTGATAGGATTGCGAACCAAATTAGAGCCATTTCGGTTAATCTTGCGCATATGTGGCAAGCACTTCGTGCTATGTGTTCACCAGGGACGGTCCATATGACGGATTTTTAGGTTTTCGACTGTCAAAAAGGTGTAAACGTCGAAAACGTCATATACTTGTATAAAATGTAATAAATGTAGAAAACGTCATTTATTCAAATATTATTACCATATACCGTTATTTCCAAAAATATATATTTTTTTACATATATCTGTCTGTTTCTTACTAGAACTAATACAAAATTCTTAACTTTTTGGAGAAAACATTTTTGAAACTTATTATGGATTTCAGTAAAGCATACGTAATTTCCAAATTCATTGTCAAAAACCTTTCAACGTCCCTCTTTCTATGCGACTACAATACTACCTCACGCTCTTTCTGAGTGAAAGATGCTGTCAAGGACTTCTCAACGATTAATTAGAAGTCCTTTTCATCATCTTCCGGTAGTTATCGGGCTACTTACAG